AATCTTATGCTTAAAATTACAAACAAATGCTTGCAACAGGCTGGGCTGGTCGTATGTTTTGCTTCCCTGGGCATCTAGTGTTTGTGTTTGTGTATCTGTACATTTACTGCATTGTATTGTACTTTTTAGAATTAAACATATTGTTCAACTTGTGCAGCTGTAGGCATTGTGATCTAATTTATTTCCAGGAAATTGAAGGCCTAGTTACCAAAGCAAGTTTACACATAATTTATTGGTTGATTTATGAAGTGACTGTGTTTAGGATTGTGAAATAATGAACCCCATATCTAACAAAAGAATATGCATTGTATTGTATTCCTGCTCATAACTTGACAGGAGTCTTGCGCATGTCTTTGAATATAATTGCATTTTGAATTTGTCTGTTACAAATTAGTATTGACATTCAATCTGTTTTCTGAATGTGACTGACAAATTCATTTTACTTTTGTTACAATACTTATTGAGACTAACTTATGAAAATAACTTCCTAGTGACTGATAGACCCTAAGAGTTTTACTGTAACAAACTAACATCTGTCAAATGTTCATTAATGGGCCACTAAGAAATCAAAATAAAGAAAATGCACTTTACATTTACCAGTGAAACAAAATAGACCTTTTTATTGGGTACCAGCCATGTAATATTAAAGGAGCAGCTCCATGCTTGCCCTGAACTCCCTAAAGGAGATTTGGTTCTAACTACCACCTTGGGCAATTATTCTGCTTGGTCTTCAGGTTTTTCAGATGTGATTCACCAGTGAATTTCTCCAATTCCTTTAAGTCTTCAAGATCCCTATCAGATCTGTTCCTTTCTATCTTCTAAAGTAGCTCAACTTGTAATAGCCTCCTGCTTAATTATTTGCTCAGAATTCTTCTGATTTCCCCTATCATTAGTCTCCTTTTGTTTCTCAGCAGCTCAAATTTCAGCTATCGTTTTTCTGTAAAATACTGAAAGGATGATAAAGCTGCGAATTTCTGTGTGACCTTTTTGTCTCCCTATAGTAACCAGATCACATGGGAATGTCTTCGAGCCGAAGTGTATCCAGGACTCGACAGGATATTTGTGCTCTGAAATGCATCTTGAGTTAAAGATCAGCCTTCTTGATTCCGCCTTTCCTATGACAGTGTATTACAACTTGAGCAAGCTGTTTGATTATTATTTATTGATGTTTTCAGGTATCTGTGAATCTCATCAAATGGAAATCTTTCAAATTTTAGCTGGTATTCTTCACCTGGGAAATATAAATTTTCAATCAAATGACCGTGATGGTGAAAATAGCTTTGTTAATGTAAGTTTGCTTTGCGATCTTAATTTTATGAATGGAAAATGATTTAACACAATTTTTGCTATATATTTGAAGTTGGCCTTTGAAAGCATCAAGATATTGCTTTTTACAATAAATACCAAAAGCAGGTTAATTGATCTGTCTTTTGTTTTGAGGTTTTGCAGTTCAACTGCCAGCAGTTTAGTTGAAAATTACTGTTTTCTTATGGCAAAAGTGGGTACACTTCAAAAAGTGATCTTGGCTTAATGATTTGGAATGTCATAGTGTCACCAAAGGCTATGTTTATGATGGAGAGATTTGTCTTTTTGGCTTGATGGCAACTCTGTTAGGAACACAAGTGGTTTTTGCACTATAGCAGCGTCAAACAACGAATATCGCCTGTAGCTCAAATGTTTGAGAAGCTTTACCCTAATCTGAGGTAGACTATGCAATGTACAGCAGGAACTAATCAGAAAAAAAAAAGTTATCCTGCAAAATGGCTTTGAACCCAATTTCAATATAAAGCATGCACAACAAACCAGTTGCTTGGGCCTTATTTTTGACATTGCTGATAAGGCCCATTTTAGGATTCCTTTTTTTTTGCATAATTAGGGATTGGCAATAAATGCTGCCTAGCCAGTGATGCCCTCATCCTGTGAATGAATTTTTAAAAATCTGTTACACCCTGAGATGAAGCAGAGTATATTGACTTGTGAAGGTAGGCTTATGGTAGGCTGTGGTAGAGAGCCCCTTGGCTGATTTATCAAATAGGATATAAAGAAAACCTCCCTCTGTTCTTAAACAGGGTAAAAATGTTGTTTTCTCTTTCTATTGGTATTTCTTGCAAGTTGTCCTGATGAGTGCAAGATTAAAAAGTTTCGACAGTGTCTTTTTAACAATTCTTGGATTCTGTCTGACCAAATTTCCACTTCCTAAATAGTATGTGGAATAAATCTAAACCACAGGATGTGCAGTTTGATCCAATATTTAGAAGCAGAGCTTCTAAAAGTTGGGGTTGAGACCCAAGTGGGGTGATGAGCTGAAAGTTTGGAATTACAGCCTCCGAGGCAATCATGAAGCTGTAAAGGTTTTATAAAAGCTGAACTCTCCCACCTCTTTGTTCTCAGGTGTTGTGACAGTTTTTGAGTCTTGAAATGGGGTCAAAAGGGGAAAAGTTGTGAAGTGCTGATCTACGGTGTACTGTAAGAACTGAGCAGAATTGGATCATCAGGCAGGCAAAAAAGTCAGTTGCAAAACTGCAGTGATACGCATAAGACATCCATTACTGTTTGGAGTAGTGAAAGCAATGTTTGTTTGTTTGTTGAAATTTATTTTTAAATGTGTCCTGTTTTGAGAACAGACTAACCAATGTTTTATGTATCTTTGAGCACATTCACTAAAAACAATTAGACAAAGAACCTTCTGAGGATGGAAAGGAAAGTAAAATGAGCCAGAGTTGTGCTGAAAGCATGGGATTTTTTATTCACCTTAACTTGCAGATTTGCTTGTTTTTCTCTCTCTCTCTCTCTTCTTTCTTTGGCCTGCAGTTAAATGATAAGCATCTTGATCAATTGTGCAAGTTATTGGGACTTGAGAAAAAACAGTTGGCCCGTTGGCTTTGTCACCGCAAGCTAGTTACGTTAAGTGAAACCTACATCAAATCCATGACTTTGGAACAGGCTGTCCATTCCAGGGATGCTCTTGCAAAACACATTTATGGGAAGCTGTTTGATTGGATGGTGAATCAGGTCAATAAAGCCTTAAGATCATCTTCAAAGCAACATGCCTTCATTGGTGTGTTGGATATTTATGGGTATGAGTGACTAGCTTTATGCTTATCAAACAAATTCTTGAAATTGAATTGTTGTAATAACGTTTTAAATTTTTTTTTAGGTTTGAAACATTTGAAAATAACAGTTTTGAACAATTTTGCATTAATTATGCAAATGAAAAGCTACAGCAACAGTTTAACTTGGTAAGATTTCTGTAAGAGTATTTTTAAAATTCCTCCACTTCCAGCAGTGTTTCATCTTTTATTCTGGGATTCCTTTCTTTAAAATCAGTTTGCATGATTTTTTTTAATGTATGTGCAAGCAGCAGAAGATCCTTTTGTCAGGAAGGGGATGGCCTAGTGGTATTATGGCTGGACGATTTAATCCGGAGATCTGGATAATGTCCTGGGGACCTGGGTTCGAATTGCGCCATGGCAGATTTGAATTCAATAAAATATCTAGAATTAAGAATCTATTGGCAACCATTGTTGATTGTTGGAAAAACCCATCTGGTTCACTAATGCCCCTTTTATGGGAAGGAAACTTAACTGGTCTGGCCTACATGTGACTTCAGACCCACAGCAATGTGGTTGACTCTGAAATACCCTCTGGCAATTAGGGATGGGCAATAAATACTGCCTAGCCAGCGATGGGCAATAAATACTGCCTCGCCAGCGATGCGCTCATCCTGTGAATGAATAAAAAATACTGTTAGGTCGTAAGATGATGAAGCAGTTATGTTCAAAGCTGATTTTACTTAAATGGGCTTGATGAAGATATTGGGAGTACAATAGATGAAAGCAGCCCTGCAAGTTGTGTATCAGCAACAATCTCCCTTACCACTCGAATTAATCTGTTTAGATTGTTGGGATCGTGGTCTTATGCAAAATAAGTTTGGAATGTTTCATTTTAAATAACCAAAGTTTGTGGGCTCCCTGCACCTAATTGATGGCAGTGTCCTTTTGAAAACTATAAGAGGTGGTATTTAATGGAAGTGATGGGAAGTTTGGCCAACTTCTCAAGTCCTCACCAATGCTGATTTTTTTAGGGGGAAAGCTGGTAGTGGTAAACCTTCCCAAGAAGAAAGGATCCCAGGGAAGGAATTTTTTGCATTCTCCTTCTACTCCACCATCACCATCAACACAAACCTCGGAGAACCTAGAGTGAATCAGAGCAGTATTATTAGGGGAATTGGTGATTGCTGCTGATAATGAACCACTCGATGCCCAGCTTTGAAAAGCCCAGGCCAGGAGTGAGTGAGTGATAATGAGTTGTACAGGGATGGGCTGGCAACAAAGACAAGGGACTGACTTTATTGGGATACCTCCTACTTGGCATGTGATCCATATGGATGAGGAAATCTCCCTTCTCTCTAACTCTGTCCATCCCCAGAAGCCCACAACAATTCTGACAGGCTTTGCTCTATTCATTTCCTGCTAGGACGGTTTTGTGTTCCTCTATGACAACTCCCTTTTCTTTCTTCTGCCCCCTCTCCAATCAACTGACTGCTCCTGGCCACCAAAACTCCCCTGGGTCAAGGTGTTAAGTCTTATCTCAGGAGGCTGGTGTGGACTGTGGGAGGAAAAATGCTCTTAGTTTAAACAAAAAATGCTAAAAATTCCCTCACGAGAGGGCTCTATATTCACTTGCGCATATACCTAGTGCTCTGTAGCTACATTTACCATGTAATTTCCCTGCTGCCTTTACAATTATTTTTAAATGACCAACTAAATTTTTTAAATGTTATGGTCACTACCTCATTGACCACTTCAGTGTTCTAACTGTCCTAGGTCTGTTATTTGTTATCAGCTCACCAAGCAAAGGTAATAGTTAAAATTGCACTCGGATTTAATTTCATGATTACGTAGGAATGTGAGCAGGCCATTCTGTCCCTTGATTCTGTTCCACTGTTTAATGAGGTCATGGCTGATCTGTGGCCTAACTCCACATACCTGCCTTTGGCCCATTTCCCATAATATCTTAGGTGTATCTATCTCGGATTTAAAATTACCGACTCTGATTTGTTTTGTGAAGAAACAAGTTTCAAACCTACTTTTCATAATTATAATATCAATTTCTCAGTGGCCCAGGATATTGGGTCCAATGGATTTACAACATAGGAGCCCAGATCCACATTGAATCAGTGACTTCTTTGTTCTTTGATTAGCCCATTATGGCTATTTAGGGTCACGGGTTTCGGGCAGACCATTCGGTCCAACTACTCCTCCATGCTAGCCTCCCTCTTTTTTTTCTTTTTTGCAATATTTAACTTTTATGCATGGGACAATATATAATTTTTTTTTTTTTTTTTGCCTCTGGCATGTCCCAGTGTTGCTATCAGTTAACTTTTTCATTCTCGTGTCCATGCTTTTGTGGTTTGCAATTCAACAGTGTGCTCTTATTGCAGCTTCCACAGAGAGAATTCTGACACGACTTCTCCAACTCGCTCTGCTGTTTAAAATTTGCCTCATTGACCAAACTGTTATTCTGGTATCTTTACAAATTCTCCTCTTTAACATCTTTCAGTGTGCATCTAAAAAGCTTTTTACCACATACTGTTAAATATATTGCATCCCCTTTTAAAATGCAAGCTGAACTTTGAGGTGGGGTTGGGGAAGGAGAACAAATGGTGAAAATGTTAAGACCACTGAACGTTTATCAATTGGGCAAAAGCTGGTGTTTAGTTTTAAAGAAGCCCACAATAATTATGCCAATGCCAGTCTACAGTTGAATCAGAGATAGTAGGAACTGCAGATGCTGGAGAATCCGAGACAACAAGGTGCAGGGCTGCACCTTGTTGTCCCAGTCTACAGTTGGTCGGCTGGATCTTGCAGCTTGAAGTTGATGAACCTGATCATCTACTTGATTTATGTGGTAACATGAAAACTGAAAATTACATATTGCCTATAGAACAAATGCCAGTAGTTGAGCACTGATGTTGATGGATTATTATAAGAATATATGAACTAGGAGCAGGTGTAGGCAATTGAGCTCTTCGAGCCTGATCCACAAAAAATGCTTGGGCACGAAGTAGTAGGAGAAAGAGTTTAAAAAGTTTTTAACTGCCTCGGATTCAAAGACTGTGTTTGAGAAACATGGGATTGCAAGTCCCCTGGCTTAAAATTCTCCTCTGGCTTAAATGGATGGCTGTTTTTAATCAGTAGGTTATGGTGGATGGCTGTTCTTCAACATTACTCGGTGAAAGCATTTAAATAAATGGCCCTGATGCTACTCTACAGAATTCATTTGGTGTCAAACAGCACTTCTTAGTGGCTATGTACAATTGTACAATCCTAATCTTTGACCGTGCGTGGAAACTTTTTCTGTATATTTTCTTCCCAGCATGTTTTCAAGCTAGAGCAGGAGGAGTACTTAGCTGAAGGTTTACCATGGACACTTATTGATTACTACGACAATCAGCCTTGTATTGATGTTATTGAGGCGAAGCTAGGGGTCTTGGATCTTCTAGATGAGGAATGTAAGGTAAGAATTAATATGAAGCTTAGTAAATGGAAAGATGCACAATTTTAGTTTTAAATATTGATGGCTGTGGATAATTTTAGACAAACTGTTGCACCACCTTGTGGTTGGGAGAGCAGCCTGCAAATGTAGAACATAAAGTCTCCGTGACAGTCCTCTTAATATTGATGCAGAGGTGCGGGCTAAAAAGCAGCCTGAAACAATGAGCACCAAACACTTCGTTTTAAATGATTTATTTTGTTATGGAACTCACAAGCAGAGAAACATGCCATTTGGACACAGCATTCTTACCATGGGACCTTCTGGTCCCATCTCCTTCCTGCTTCTGATATTGACCATGTGGAATTGCCCTTTGCAACTCCATTGCAAACAAGGGTGAGCTGCCAAGCTGGGACACTTTTTTTTTTTTTTTTTTTTTTTTTTTGTTTTTTTTTGGATTTCATAATTGCCCTTGTTCTATATCATTATTGGAACCCTACCCACCACCACCACCAAATTTCTGGTCAGTGACCTGTCTCTCCTTGCCCACAGACTAAGAGCTATCCTTCAGGCCTTAGAAAGGAAGAATAGGTTTTCAAAGGCGTTAAATACAGCTGTGATAAAATTGTCAGATTAAGCCTGAGAGACAACTAGTTGTAGATTGTGCACAAAAACACAATTCTGCCACTGGTGAAAACCGTTAAGTTTATTTCCGAAGAGTCCTATTTGAGACTTCTGACCCGAGTTGAAATAGCCTGATTTTAGAAAGTGGTAACGACGCATGTAAAAGCAAAATGCAGTGGATGCCACAGATCTAATAAAAGCAGTGCTGGAGGAGCTGTGGTCTGCCAACATCTGTAGAAAGGGAGAGGAAGGGTTGATGTTTTGAGTCCCATGACTCTAAAAGATTCTTAGGACTCTTATGTTTGGTAATTGTACATGCTGTTTTTCTATCACGGGTTCAGAGAATTAGTTTTAAATAAAGCAGTTCTAAATTGATCCAAGATGGGAGGAGGGGGAAAAAATTAATTTGGTGATTACAAACATAAAAAAAAACTGTGGATGCTCCATGAAGATTGTCAAAAGATGGAATAGTTTACTAACATTTGTTTCGAAACGGTCTAAAGTTGTACTGATAGCTGTACTAAGCTTGCAAACTAATATGGTTCTACTTTTAATCCTTGTATCATTGACTTACCGATGTATTTTTAATTCTGCTAGTTGTTGATTCCTTTCCAATAAATATTTGTGCTGGTCTAAGTGGGTGTTTTGTTTTGTTTTTGTTTCTGTTTTTTTTAAAATTTTAGATACTTAATGGAACAGATGAGAAGTGGGCTCAGAAATTGTATAATCGTCACCTGCATACAAGTCGTCACTTTCAGAAACCTAGGATGTCAAATTCTGCTTTCATTATTCTTCATTTTGCTGCTGATGTAGGTGGTTGTTTTGTTAATTTCTATAACAAACCTAATTATTGTATGCAGTTCATTTTTTGTCACAACCAGCTGGATTTTTCAAAAGATTAATAACAAGTTTGGAGATTGTTACAACCAGACCCCGAGTGAGGTTCCCTGTTTTATGGTCCCAGACTAGAAATCCCAAACCATTTAATGTCCTGGGTGAGTAGGGATGAACCAGCACTCCCTCCTCTATTCATCTAACCATTAGTGGGTGGTATTAAGCTTAATTTTTAAAAAACTGATCTGTTCCATTTGTGGATACCTTTTTGTTTTAAAAAAAGGGCAGTTGTCTGGATTTCCTTCAGCATTGGTAGGTGTGACACACATTGGATCTCTCTCCAGAATCCATAAAGCCACTTACCTTGCATGGCCATTTTTGGCTGTCACATTTCTTTTGCTTTGAAAAGACCCACCATTAAAATGGGTTTAATGTTTGTAGTGCTTTGGGAGTTCAGACTCATGTTCATGACAGTTGAAAGATGAAAGAAACTGAAGGACACAGTGGACTTCGAAATTTCAAAGTAGTTAAAGAAGCAAACCTTTTTGAAATGTAGTCTGTGGCTACTTGACACCTTTGAAGCTAACACTGTCTAAACATTTGATCGATGCCTGGCAGAAAACTGGTAATTTTAGACATTTTAGTTTTAAAATAGCAACGCCATTTCAGTAGGTGTTGTAGTTCTGTTTTTGAGCAACTTTTGTGCAAGGCAAGCAGTACCTGATGACATCAACCAATAAGATCCAACGTCAAGTGAAGGATTGTCACTGAGTTCTGTGTTTTGGGAGTCGGGAAGTTGAGTTGGCTAGTTTGTGATGCCGAGTGAAGCCGACAGTGCGGGTTCAGTTTGGGCTAAGGTTGCCATGAAGGCCCCTCCTTCTCAACCTGTCCCCTTGTCTGAGGCATGGTGATCATCAAATTAAAGTCACCACTGCCCCTCCCTGCACAACTACGGTGAGTGTATTTATTTTGTTTTACTTAATTTTTTTAACCAAATTTGCAAGAATATTTCAGTAGCAGTATACAAAGTCTTTAGTTGAGCTGGAACTCGCAAGATATATTCCAAACATATAATGTTACTAGCTATTAATTAATGGGTAATAAACCTATTCAGTGTTCATCACAATGAAGTTCAACTTCTATAAAGACATTTTTGTTGATATTTATACCCACTTCATGTCGTAGCTTAGACTGATGCTGGCAAGAGGATGAGGTATCAATGTAACTACAAGCTTTTCAGCCACACTGTTAAAATAGCGTGCAGCATTTTTCCTGTATCTAGTTGAACTTAATTTGGGAATGCTTTATTTTCATAAATGATAGTGAACGTAGGTACATTCTTCCTTTTTGCTTGGTGTGACATTCTTCACCTTGAATGCTGTTTATTATCCAGCAGTAAAATATCCATTCCCTGACTGAAAATGGCCTCTTTTTGGTTAGTGAACATGTGATGTGGGCTATAAATGAGACACTAAATGTCAGAAAGTGACTGGGTCAAGAAGATTTATTCAATGTTATATCTATAAAGAAACTTATGAATTGCCTTCAGGTGCTGTATCAGTGTGAAGGATTTTTAGAGAAAAATAGAGACACAGTTTATGAGGAGCCAATTAACATTTTGAAAGCAAGTAAGGTAAGTACACTTAACCTTGTTCATGGAAGCATTGTATTATCTTGAACCAGTTCCCAAGGAGCTGAACTGTAGTTTTTATTGAAGAGGTGGATTGGGATAATCACTCATTTTGATGATTTTCTTTGTGATTTGGATCTTAAATTCTGGAACGTTTTCCAAGAAGTTCTCTGCTTGTATCTGATAGCATTTTAGAATTTTATTTGAAAGATTAAGTAAGTTTTTAAATTTGGTACCTTGCATCATATATTTACCAAGTTTCTGCAATGTAAACATTTTTACAATTCATTGAAATTTGAAAAGTTTCTCATTGATCATGTTTTCATGATGTCTTGACCAACCTTGGGAAATACTTGATCTGTCTGTAAAGTTATGTGTGGAAGTTGCTTGATTTTTTTGTTTTACATCTAAGTGACTTGATGAAATGTAACAATTGGATTTACATGGCAGGACCCTTAATACCGGTTAAACATAACACCATATAAATTATACCACTAAGAAATTCAACTGGTCCATCACACATCTGCTAGCTCTTCAGCTAAGGTTATCTTTTCTAAATACATTTCATGGTCCTTTTTTTCTGTTTTTTTTTTTTCTTTTTCCATCCTTTCTAGACTGGCTGTATCTAAGTGATTTGAGTTTGATAACAGATGAGTTCACTTTATTATTAGATTTCAATTTAAACAGGGTTTGTTGTAGCTGACTTCTAGGGTTATGAGGCCTTTATGAATTACAAAACTCTGCCGATTGTGAAAGCTAACCTTTTATAAAGTCTGCAGATTGGAGTTCTATTGTAACTTCAACTTTTGTTACTAGATTAATGAGATTAAATTACAGCTAATATGGTAGTAAACATCTCAACAGAGAAGACAGTCTAGTGTCTCTACAGCTTATCTTGCTTGTATATTAATGTGGTACCTACTTTCACGCAGTTCGGTATAAATCAGTTGGGAACTCTGCCATTTATACATTATGCCACACTTTGACCACAAATCACGTAAGGAATGAAGTCAATTTTAACTTGGACATGATAACCATGCACTGACACAAAGCAGTTAGATTGTGCAATTGGGGTCCAAGACTGGAGTTGGTCCTAACTACACTTATTTTGAAGTCCGTTCAAAACTGCAGAGAACCTTATGTTCAAGATTTTTGGCACATAGTTTAATCAAGGAATTAATAACTTTGATTTTTTAAAAATGCCTCCTAGGTATCTAAACAGACTCTAGTACTACAGATTGGTTCACTATTGATGCTTTTGAGTAGTACAGGTGAGAAATAAACAATAGGTTGCCAACATATTCTACTTTCAAAGAGGAGCACCCTTGAAATAAAAGGATAGCCCATGACAAAAATGGGAGCAATAGATTTCTTAAAGGATTAAAACATTCCATGGTTGGTTTGAAAGGAGAAGTTGTTAGGTAGTAGATGGTGGGGGAGTGTGATGACCAAAATGAAATGTTTCACAAAGTTTTTATAAGGCTTTTGAAAATATGGCACTAAAAGGAATGGTTTTGGAAATTTTAATGACTGAAATTTGTGCTGATTGTTGGAAGCTGAGAACTAAGGGTGCAGGGATGTGGTCTTTGAAGTTTACAAATGATGTGACAAAGTCATTGGATTTTCAGAGTGGTTTTTAAAAGTTCATGACTTGGTGTATGAGGTTGGGAAGCTCATCTAGGCAATGAGCAATACGTAAGAATAATTACATGAATGAGGATGGTTTTAGTTGATCTGAACTTTGTGTAGAGTTTGGAGTATGGGGATGTCTGAGATTGAGATGATTTTAGCATTGAAGTATTTGTGTGGATTTGTGCTACGGGTGGAATGTTAGAAATAGAAATCCTGCCATGGGTGCAAGTTTGAGGTTTACTTTTGATGTCAATAAGAACCTTTTTGTCATTGGGTTCTGTTTGAACTGACCCTTGTTACAGAGTATGGATTTGAGCTCAAGTGCTAGTGGATGGGAACAGAGTGGGGTTTTTTTTAAAGCTTACTGAAGACTGTTCTGACCAGCTCCATGTTATGGATAAGCCAGAATAGCAGAGATGACCAGGTGTAGAGCTGGATGAACACAGCAGGCCAAGCAGCATCAGAGGAGCAGGAAGGCTGACGTTCGTTTTGTGCTGGCCTGATTTATGGATATGTTGCAAAGAGGAACAATGTAGATTCTTAGAATAAAGCATAGGGTAAGTCATTGCAGGGAATAGGCTTGTTGGAGTATTGAAATTGAATTGTAATATGGTGGTGGAGGTCTGAAGATGTGAAGTATGTAGTTAATTATATTGATGTTTGAGGACCATAGGAGCATTGGATAAGCTACTAATGGCATACAGTGATCTCCATTCTGAGTCTACAAGAAGTTATGTAGAAATTCAGTATCTCTGGAAATGTCTGGGTTTTTCTCACTTTAGCCGTGGGGTTGAGAGAGGTTCATCCTCGTAATGAGTTCACCAAACTGTTTAAAAGTTAATTGAGTAGTTTTGGCCATTGTTACCCAAGATGAAGCCTGTGCTGTAAGCAAATTGTGAGAAAATAGTTAGAAATCTGCCCCAAAACTGAGCTTTCTTAATCTTGTTACTTGTGTTATTTCCAAAAGTCTGAGCTGATTTCTGAGCTGTTCCATGATGATGCTTCTACAAGAAGAGGTCAGATCTCCAACGTAACTTTAAAATCTTTAAGAAAGACCTTGCCAGTGACGAGTGAGCACAAAAAAACAGTGGGATACCAGGTAATAAACTTCATTTTCTAAAACAACATGCTTAGATTTTCAATGCTGGCTCTATAACAGGTTATGAAGTAAGCTTATTAAATATTTGCGTGCTTCAAGAGCAAAAGTACTGACATTAAAGTTTCTCTCAGGACTAGTTCAAGCTATATTTTTCTCAGAGATGCTGGATATTAACATTTAATGATGGCCTTCACTAATGGGTCGAACCTAGAACTGTGCAAATTACTATTTTACTAAGGATTTAAAACAAAAATTTTGGATGTTCCGTGATTGTACAAAATCTATTGCTGTAATTTGAGCATGACTCGGTATAACGAGAGACATAAACCTAAATGTTGTAATAGCCTTGTGAAAATATCATCTCATTGCTCAAATCTCCTCTTCCTAAACAATTTTCCAAAAAAGAAATGTGTCCACAAGGCCAGTTGTAGGGAGGAGGATGGTGATGATTATTTCAACTGGTAGTATTACTAGGCAAGTCTGATCCTGGAGTTTTATTTTCGTAATCTTAGTTATTTATAGTGATCAGTCGCAAGAGGCAGTCGAGATTGCGCACTTTGTTTTAAAAAAAAAATCTATTAACAAGATGCAAACTGTTACAGGAAAGAAGTTACTTGAAAGAATCTTATTATAAATTCAGATGAGGATTTGACCCTGTTACCTTCAATTTTACATATATTCAAGCCTTGGCGAAGGATCAACCTGTTTCTAATTTAATTTCGTTTTCTGGTTCAGTGGATGCAGCTACAATTTGGTTTTACTCCTGGAAAACTTCTGCGTTTGTTTGGTATTTAATTAACTAATCCTGACACTGCTATCAAAGCTCACTTACTACTTAACATTCAGCTTTCTCTTCCACAGCCATCTGTTTTTTGAGCTTTTACTCTTACTCAAGGCAAAATTTCCCTGCCCTGACCATTTTGGAGACTGCACTCTGTCTCTGAAGGACTGACCATTTTCTTTTGAAGGATGTCTGCATACTGGTTGACCTAGATAGATCTGTGTCTCTCTTTCCTGTCTCCCTAAGTCAGAAAATGCCTTGTTGTCTATTTTCTTTTTTCCCCCCAACACATTTCTTTCTAAGGCACTGAACTATTTATCACCTTTTTTTTGTTTTAAAAGCCTAATTCAGTCACGTAAACAAGTTTCCAGACAACCTGTCGCCCCTCAGACTCAGAAGCAAAACTAAAACTGAGTGGAATTTTCTCATCTTCTAAATGACATGGGCAGTGGTGACAGCTGGGGAAATACAGAATAAAAAGATTTTTGACAGAGGTCAAAAAAGTGACTCTTTTTTTCCACAAGGTTTGGCAGGCTGGCTAAGTCACATTGGAATGGCAAAGGCCCAAGTCGAGAGCATTAACACTTCCTTATTAGCAAATCTTGCCTTCCCTCTATACAGGCTTGCTATTTCTCCAGGCATTGGAGAAAACGTTGATGGTGCCAATTCCCAGCATGAGTGGTGATCAGACAGCTGTAGCTCTCCATCTGGGTCACTGTTTCTCAACATCAAGGCACACTCCATGAGCAGTGACCACCTGCACCCTCCATTTACATTTTGGGATGGCAAATGGCCAGCCTAACTCCATCTTGGATTGAGTCATAGTTTGGTGCAGTACTTCAGCTCTGCCCTTTAGAGTTCACTGACACCTTTTCATTGCATTGCCATTGCCATTGCCATTGCCACTGACAGGCCGCTCTGCATGCCAGGCATCCAGCTTGTGCATTGGCACAGGATACTTCATGGGGCTCTTGGCTTGCTTTCTTAGTAATCTCTCACATTGCATCTACTTGGGTGCTTAAAGCAACTCTGCTTTGCTTTGCCTTGCCTTGACTTTGTGCATTGTCGTTTCTTTCAGAAGTTGCAGTACTTCCGTTTTGCCTTTCCTTTAGCGTAGACAAAGCCAGTCAGCCAGTAAACATGACAGGCTAGTATCAATATTGTGCCGTTGTCACACCCTGTACCATGTGCTATCAGCTTGTGCTGAATTGCTTCAACCAAATGGCTCTATCTCTGTGTCTAAGAGGAGTTACCCTTAGTCAAATTTAAGGCCAGGGATTGCGGGGGGAAAACTGTTGTCAGGATGATCCACCACAGTAAGTCGAGGCATCAGCTAATATCTGCTCATTTGAATGTGGTCAGTCAGCCATTGGTGTTCAGAATCAAGCTATTTGTATCATTCCAGTCCAGGGAATGGTTCATAGTCAGTCCTGCAGGTGTTCCTCTGGGCCATGAAGACAGCGCTGCCCTGAGTGGTAACTTCAAATGAAGCTGGCACGGTCTGCTGTGGTCTTGTGGTCCAGACGAAAGTGGATGGCCCTGTTCTCCACCACCCTGTTAAACAGGCCCTCCAGGTCCCTATCAAGAAAGTAGAGGTGCCAACTTTGCTCTGGTTATTTCCACTGTAATTTTGCACACATCAGAACCTTTTGAAGGGCCACTTCTTGTTTGCAGAGTCTGCACTAGTGCATAGTAGAGCTTAATAGTTTCCTCCAGTGGTGAGAATTCCAGAAGCTCCTGGCAGTAGTGAGCACTTTGCTAGTCAGCAGGAGAACAGTGCCATGAAGGTAGGGTGCATGTTTAATGCAACATGAAATTGCACGAGAGCATGCACTGGAGTTCAGAGAAACTCCCCAACATTAACGAGATGAATTTAGCCAAAACTTATATACAGTATCCTGTTCCTAACCCACTGTATAGAAATGCAAACCAAGCTTAAAGCTATGTATAACAAGGTGTAGAGCTGGATGAACACAGCAGGCCACGCAGCATCAGAGGAGCAGGAAAGCTGACGTTTCAGGTCTGGACCCTTCAGAATTCTCTACACCTTGTTATCTCAGATTCTCTAGCATCGGCAGTTCCTACTGTCACTTAAAGCTATGCATGTTCTGTCTACTTTAGAAACCAGAGATCCAAATAATAATGGGTAATGAATCTTCGTGGTATAGTAAAGTACATAAAAGGGGCTAATTCAGTAGTCAATGTGGAGAACAAAATGGATTGACTTTTATTGGCCAGGGAATTTAATTTAATTTGTACCATTTTTCCAGTAGTCATTTTGTGCTATGTGATGGGTCTTCACAACTGGAGTTGGATTTTTGGATGTCAGTAGTCTGGTGCTGACTTTCTATTATGTAAATGATCTACAGTGGGGTAGAATGGGTGGTGAGTACTGGGCCTCTGCCTAATTGCTTTTTAATCTAAACTTAACAGTTTCTATATTCAGTGTTTCAGTAAAACTGAGAACGCCAAGAGGAGATTTAAATTGAAGTATAGAGGGCTTTGTTGAGGTGAATAGGGAAATACTCCCTCTAGAGGGATTTAGGGATGAAATTGATAAATGCCATTTATGGAGAAGTTGGAGGGTTCTTTTAACAACATCGGGCAGAAACCTGTCTATGGCGCAGTGTGGTGGAGCTAAATGTCAGGTACTGTGCATAACCAAAAGCAAGTCTTGTAGAAAGTTTGCTCTACCACCCAGCCCAAGGCAAGTTATGGGTGGCACGGTGGCTCAGTGGTTAGCACTGCTGCCTCACAGCGCCAGGGACCCGGGTTCAATTCCACTCTCGGATGACTGTCCGTGTGGAGTTTGCACATTCTGCCTGGGTTTCCTCCCACAGTCCAAAGATGTGCAGGTTAGGTGGATTGGCTAAGCTAAATTGCCCGTAGTGTTCAGGGGTGTGTAGATTAGGTGCGTTATAGGGGAATGGGTCTGGGTGGGATGCTCTGAGGGGCGGTGTGGACTTGTTGGGCTGAAGGGCCTGTTTCCACACTGTAGGGATTCTATGATTCTGAGAATAAGTTTCAGAAACATCTATGGTGGTTCTGATTTTCTTGCTTCCCTTGATCATCATCATCCTCCAACTCTGCTCCTTGGAGAAATGTTACAACTGTGCTTTGTTGTTCGATTGTCCCAGAAATTTGCGTAGAACTGTCAATGTGCTTACACTCTGTGTATGTAGATGTTCTAGCATCATTCTCAGTTAACTCCAACAAGACAACTTAAGACTATTCTCTAGCATTTCAAGTGTTTTGTGAGTTACTGATAAACAAGTGATAACATTGTTTTCTGTAGTTTCGAGCATCACTCCATCTCCTAATGGAAACTTTGAATTCAACATCTCCTCACTATGTCCGCTGCCTAAAGCCAAATGATACAAAGGAACCATTCTCGTGAGTAAATCAGGTGCTGCTGTTTTTAAGATAACAAGGTGTAGAGCTGGATGAACACAGCCTTCCTGCTCCTCTGATGCTGCTTGGCCTGCTGTGTTCATCCAGCTCTACACCTTGTTATCTCAGATTCTCCAGCATCTGCAGTTCCTACTATAGCTGCTGTTTTTAATGTCGGTGTTCTTGTGCGTCCTAAGACAGTGCTAAGTACTTTGCCCATTAGACAGGTAAAATGGGCAAAATATGCAAAACATAGAATTCTGCTTAAAAATAACCTGGTAAAAGGGCAAATTGTTCCTATATAAAATGCTACGGCAGCACAAAGATGTGCAAAGTTTGAGGGGAAAATGCATTACAATCTATTTTTAGCCCCATTCCCTACCCTTTTTTTTCCCAACTTTTTTGGATCTTCCTTTTTTCTGTTTTGAAATAATTACCATGGATTCTGCTTCCGTTGAGTTTTTTTCTCTGAATTTTATGCAAAGCTGCATCAAGAGGACTAAGAGATTGGTCATGAGAAAACTCCATGTAGGCCTGATTCTAACTCTATGAATGAAGTGAAAACTTATCCATGCTGGCACATTATTGATTCAATGAATGAAAATACTTGATTCCAATTTTGCTAAAACTTTCCATACTGAACGTTTCCATCAGATCTCCTCGATCCTTTTTGCTTCTTTACATTATTATTTTGAACCATTCTCCATACCTCAAAATTTATTTTGATTGTACCTAGTTGGTTGGTAATCTGTATTGCTGGCTTGTTGCATGCTTTCCTCCCCATCTTTCCATTCGTGAAATGCCTTTGTTTTTATATTAATTGCATCATATAAATGCAAAATTGCAGTGACACCTTGGAAAATGTTTTATTGTTGCTGCTCATGTTTTGTACTTTCTGCAGGACTTTTTATCTATCTTTTAAAGGATGGTTGCAACATCTGTTGCCGCATAATCATTATTGTATGGGTATCCAATGCAGTTTTCTTGGGAGACTCAAGTGCAAACTTTTTTAGTTCAAGAACAGTACGGCTGTTCTCAGTACAAAGGTTCATTCTAATTGAGTGCTGAGTTTAAAACTGGATTTGTACACCTGTATAAATTTAATTTAATTTGGTGGGTTAATGAGGATAAGGACCTGAGAATTAGTGATCAGTTTTATTGAGGTGGTATTTACTATCTTGTAAAGCTGTTGGTTTGTACCACTTCCCTATTGTTCCTTAATCAGTTGAGCGTCCTGTGCTTTTAATTTATTCAAACATCATTTCTTCAGGATTAGGGTATCAGAAATCTTGATAACCTGTAGAGGGATTTCAGGTGATGGAGTGGTGGGGTTGTGAGAAACTTGAATTGTTGTGATCTGGAATGCATTGCAGAAAGGAACATTTCAGTAGTAATGTTCAATACTGAGCTGGATAAATACCTAAAAGGGGGGAAAACTATATGGAGCAATATGGATAGTGGGAGTAATTGGATAGCTCCAAAGAGATGATGGGCTGAATGGCTGCCTCCTGTTGTTTTTAATTCTGATGTGAGTACTATCCCAGTTTCAATGTTGAATAGTGAAAGGTGGAAATCTGACGAGGTTTGAAAGAAGCTGATAAATGACCAGCTATAAATGCTAGACATTGTAAAACAATACAGTTCACTCCTCTGGAATGAGTATTTGAGTTCTACTTAATTTGTAGTCAAAGGCTATTAATCTTAAAGTTTGGCATTTCTGCTGCAGGTTTAACCCAAACAGAATGGTACAACAATTAAGAGCCTGCGGTGTTCTTGAAACAATCCGTCTCAGTGCTGCTGGGTATCCATCTAGGTAAGTATAAATAGCATTGAATGTGCCTCATGAGAGAGGAGGACTGAGTCAATTTGTTTTGTATTTAAATGTACTTTAGTACGTGATGCATACCCTGGGCACTGCTTTCATTTTCCTAGATATCTATCTTGGTGTGCTGAGGACTTAAACCCTTTAGAACCAGAAGTAGCCGAAACTATCCCTCTTTCATGAGGTTACTGCTCCTCAAGCATAGACTGTAATTATCAGACACTTTATTTAATAAATTAATATAGCAGCTACATTATGTGCATTTGATAGTGGTCAACAATAGTTATTCTTCATTTGAGCCATAAACTTGCTGTAGAAGTTATGCTGTCTAGCTGAGTTCAGGTACATGGTTAAGCACAGACCTAAAAGATCTGTCCAAGATATACTGCACCATGTTGCATTTGAAATTGCTGTGCTTGTGCAGTAAATGCAAATTAAACTTGATGCTTCAGTTTTAGTACCCTTTTTCATTAGGTGATTAATGTTTACTGCCAGTCAACCTCTGGCATTGAAACTGAATAATTCAAAATACAAACTCTCCTTCCCTCAGTAGAGCTGTTGATTTAAAATGTAATTTTAAAAAAAATTCTTAATCCAACTTTTCTTTGTTTGCTGTCCCTGACTTGACTTTGAGTGGCCCCATTGAATCTACAATTCCTACTTGATCTTTTTATGATGTTAATTTTGCAATTCTCCGTATCTGATTAAGGGGGAACACTGGGTTCAGTTGCATGGAAAATGATGGAAAGAGTTAAAGGGGGAAGGCTCAACGGAGGTTAAACTTCCCAGAACAAGTAATCGAACAGAGTATGGAAAGGGTCAGGGATCAACTTTAGGCACAGCAGATAAGTGGACGACTGAGAATGGGACAGTCAATGCAGGACCTGAGGGTGTTGTACTTAGATGCAGTATATGAAACCAAGTAAATGAGCTTGTAACACAGATTGAAATTGTCAGGTGATATTGTGGGGTTTCTCTGAGGCAGTAGGGAGTTCAGGGCTGGGACCTAAATATCAGAGGATACCCATCCAATTGAAAGGACAGGCAGATGGGCAGCCATTGCCTTGTTAGTAAGAAATTAAATTAATAGAAAGAAGCAATATAGGGTCAGATGGTGTAGAACCTGTATGGATAGACTTGAGGAACTGCAAAGGAATAAACTCTCTGATGTGAGTTATATATAGGCCACCTGACAATAGTCAGAATGTGGGGAAGAAAATAAATTGGGAGATGGAACAGCCATGTAAGAAAGACACTATTGCAGTAATCGTGGGGTACTTCAGTAGGTAGGTGGACTGGGAAAATTAGGTTGGTAGAAGATCTCAAAGAATTTGTGCAATGTCTGCGAGAGGTGTTTTTTGGTTTTATTTTGGAGCAGCTTGTGGTAGAGCCCACTAAGGAACAGGCATTTTTGAATTTGGGGACCTAATGAAGCAGACTTGATTTAGGGACCTTAAGATGAAGGAATCCCTAGGGAGCGATGACCATAATGTGACAGAATTCACCCTGCAGTTTGAAAGGGAGAAGATTTGAATCAGATGTAACGGGAGTACAGTTGAGTAAAGGTAACTACGAAGCTGAGGGAGAGGCTGGCCAGAGTTGATTGGAAAGGTAGCCTAATCAAGGAAGATGGTAGAGTAGCAATAGTGGGAGTTTCTGGAAATGATTTGGGAGGCTCAGCAAAAATGGATCCCAAGGAAGAAGCAAAAGGGGAGGATAAGGCAACCCATGGCTGACGAGGGAAGTCAGGACAGCATAAAAGCAAAAACAAAATCATACAATGTTATGAAGATTAATGGGAAGCCTTTAAAAATCAGCAGAGGATTTAATTTTTAAAAAAACATGGTAAAATAGGGTGGAGTCAGCATGGCTTCAGGAGGAGGTTATGTCTGATGAGTTTGTTAAAATTCTTTGAGGAGATAATGAGCCAGTAGACGCCATCTGTTTTGATTTCCAGAAGGCCTTTTGACAAGGTGACACGCAGGAGGCTGCTAGATAAGATAAGAACCCGTGTTGTTGGGTGCAAGTACTGGCATGGACAGAGGCTTGGGATAAAAGGTGTTTCAGGGTGGCAGTCAGTGACTAGTGGAGCTCTGCAGGGGTCAGTGTTGGGATCACAACTATTCACATTATACACTAAGGATCTGAACATAACTGAAGGCATTGTTGCAATCTGTAGTATGCTTCATATGTGAAACTCCAAGATAAGCCTAAATTGAACTTAGGAGACAAGGGTTTCTTTAAGCTTGGCTGAGCTTTTTTAGTTTAAATCGATTTTAGCTCAGTTATTAATCTTGCATTGGTTTTGTGAACTTGGCTTAACCTGGTCTGTTGACCATCTTAAGTTCTTCAAAAAATTAATTGTTATAGTCCATGAAAGGTCCCAGGTATTAATATCTGATAGTTGAAAGCTAATGTTTCATGCTTTGAGTAAGGAATGCACTATCTTTATTTTTCATAAATTAACTGTGGCCATTCTGAAAGCCAGCAAACTTTTGATTTGATAACTCAAAAAAGGAAAGCCAAGATTAAAAACACGACTTGCGTGCAGACATGCTTTTGAGGAATTTCCTAGGTTTGTATATGAATTGTGGTTTAGTCCCTTGCAATTATATTCACCACAAATGCATTTACCAGAATTTGTAACAGAGTTGAGTGTTAAACTGGAATATAATTTCGGTGAATTTAAATCCTGTAGGTCCAGTGACAGGAGTTCAGCCCAATACTGGACTAAAGGGCAAGTTTCAAACTTGCCCGACAGTAAATTTAAGGTAGCAGAAATAGCTGAAACCATTACACTTGAAACCTGCAGAGTCAGCTTGTCTTTATAGCAATTTTTAGGATAACTGTTCATTCAAGTTTAGATATGCCACATTGCTGTGATGGAGTGATTTTTTTTGACTTTGTAAACAAAGCTTCAGAGTGAGAGCATTTGATGTTTCTGCTGAAATTTGCCCCATCCTAAAGTATATTTTTCTGCAAGTTTTATTTTTAACAGCTGCTTACAATATTAAACATTGAAATGATCTAACATGCTGTTTTTGCAAATTTCTGACTTGGTAAACTTGTGCCTGGAGTCACCTTTTGGTGACTTTGTAAATTTTACAAAACTCTGCTAAAAATTACAAATGTTAACATGGGTAATGCCTGCAGCAATGCTTTACACATTTTCCATTAAGTGCTTATTGGTAGCAAGAGTCCATCTATCTTGCGTTTTATGCTTCTTCCTCTCTTCCATCTTAGAGCAGTACAACTAGTTTAGAATTCTATAATTTTCTTTGATCAATCCAATGAAGGAAACTAAGTTCCTAAATTGTTATTTCCATAGAACACTATGTAGAGGTGGTTGCCCTTTTTGCAAAATGGCATGATCCCACAAATGTAACAAGTACCTGGAACGCATCAAACAATATTCATGCTCAAATCAAAGCCAACCCCTCCTGTGATGATAGGGAGGACATGCCTTTTATTCTGTCTGCAACGCAAACTGATGCACCTAGTTCTAATTATAACAGGAGTTTTTATTTTATTATGTACCTTCAACTTTTTTAAGTTGCTTTTCTAAACACCCCTTAACCTTAGGATAGGATCCGTCATATTTGGTGTATTCCAGCTATTCCTGATTGTGAGTAACATTTGATCGATTGATTGATCAATCAGTCAATCTATATTTTATCATAGGAGAGAGATATTTGGCAAAAGGCTGAAAACTAAATACAGACTTTACTCCAAAATAAAGTGGGTTGTACAGATTTCCTTTCAATATTAGGAAACCTGTGCATGACTATCAGAATTCACTCCTCTTCACAATGAAGAAAGTTTGACATCACAATGTGATTCATATTGGTTGCGGAGACTTGGTTCTATAAAATCGATTTTTATGGAGTTGAATGACCTGTTTCTGCATCATAACATTACATCATTCCATTGTAGAATTATGTAAACTGTTATGTTGAGGTTTACTAATGTTGGATTTTTGTTTGTTTTTAGGTGGACCTATGTTGATTTCTTTAGCCGCTACAGAGTTTTGATGACAGAAAATAACATTTGTGCAGATGAGAAACAGACGTGTAAAAACATGTTGGAAGACCTAATCAAGGTTTAAAAAGTCATAATGTCATGCCATGTTTCTTGACTAGTTTAAAGGCCCAGGTTGGGGCCAGGGGGAAAGAGTGCCCTTGTTCAAAACTTCAGTCTTGATCAAACATTTAGTTGTGAATGTTTGTTTGAAACAACGCAAAGTGCAACTTTTTTCTGGCACATGAACAAAATTTGTACCTAAGTTTATTATGTACCTGCAACTTTTTTTTAAAAAAAGTTGCTTTTCCAAGCACTGCTTAGCCTTAGGATAAAATCAGTCATACTTCTTGTATTCAACCTATTCACCATTGTGAATAACATTTGATCAATTGATCAATCGCTCAATCAATCTTTAGAAAAATTCAGGAAAGTGATAGATCTTGAAACCATTCCTTATGCAGGTAGCAGTGGATTTCACATGGTATCCTTTTTAAATGGGAGTAATTCTGCATTTTGATCATTTGTCAGAAAAATCTGCTTTAATTCCTTAGTTTCAATGTTGGTGGCAGAGGAATAGTCCAAATAAATTGAAGATGAAGACTCTTAAAAATACCACATACCCACAACATGACAGTTGTGTGACTCAGTGGTAGCACTGTCATCTGAATTTGAAGATGATGGGTTCAAGTACAACTCCATGACTTGCTGCACAAAAAACAAGTCTGAAGAATGTCAGTACCAAGGGAATGCTGTACAGTTAGAAATGCTGTCTTTGGATTAAGTATTAAACTGAGATTTCAGATGTCTCCAATTTGCTGTATTCTGAAGAAGGGGTGTGGGAGTGCTCTCCCTGTTTCCCTGGACACTTAGTTTGTTTTGTAAAATTGGAGGAAAAAAAAAATCTTGTCACTTTCAGATTATTTGTGAGAGCTTCCTGTGGTTGATTTGGCTGTTGTGGCTCCTATATTAAATATGTTTCAATAAGTTAGATGTTTATAAAATCACGAGGGGCATATATCGGGTGAACCGCCTATCAAAGGTCACTTTTTGATAGGGGAGTCCAAAACTAGAGGGCATAAGTTTAAGGTGAGAGGGGCAAGCTTTAAGGGACCCAAGAGGCAACATTTTCATGCAAAAGGTGGTGCATGTATGGAATGAACTGCCAGAGGAAGTGATAGAGGTGGGTACAATTACAACATTTTAAAAGGCATCTGGATGGGTATATGAATAAGAAGGGTATAGAGGGGTATGGGCCAAATGCTGGCAAATGAGACAAGGTTAATTTAAGATATCTGGTCGGCATGGACAAGATGGACCAAAGGGTCTGTTTCTGTGCTGTATGACGAAGTTCTTCGTCGCACATAAAGAACCTTTTGAGTCTTGTAAAATGCAGTAACATAACTGTAATCTTAAAGTGTTCAATCCAAAAGTGAACCATTGCCACCTGTGCTTGACACTTATTCTATTTTATTTTCTACTGTGGTAATTGATTTCATTTAGGTTTTGATTTTGTATTTAAAGGTCCCCCCACCCCCAACCAAACTTGTCTATTTTCGTTGTGGAGAGAAAGTAGAGTTAACGTTTTGGGTCCAATGATCCTCCTTCAGAGCTTGAGTAAAGTTGTCTGAACAGTCCATTACCTTAACTGTGTTGTGCAGTGAGGAAACTTGTTTGCTGTTGCTGATTAAGTCAACCTTCAGCCCAATCATGACACCTTTTAGAATTAAAGCTTAATGTTACCTTAATGGATACTACTTTTAAGAATATGTATTTTTTATGCTTATAATTTTTACATACTAGTGAGTATTATAATGAGATCAATGATGGATCTTCTGATGTTTAGACTTTATTTTGGGTAGGTAGTAACAATAACTGCTTTTTAAATTGTTACCCACAGGATGAGAACAAATATCAATTTGGAAAGACCAAGATCTTCTTTTCTGCAGGGCAGGTGGCCTATCTGGAAAAGCTCCGTACAAACAAACTTCGCGCTGCCTGTATAATGATACAGAAGATGATGAGAGGTTGGATGCAAAGAAAAAAATATCAGCAGATATGCCAAGCCATTATTGTCATCCAGAAATACACACGCAGATTTCTAGCAAAACAGTAAGTAAAGCAATAGTAAGTAAAGTAAAGCATTCATGCAACAAAAAAAAATTGTTGGAGAAACTCTGTAGCTCTGGCAGCATCAGTGGAGAGAAAGTAGAGTTAACGTTTTGGGTCCAATGATCCTCCTTCAGAGCTTGAGTAAAGTTGTCTGAACAGTCCATTACCTTAACTGTGTTGTGCAGTGAGGAAACTTGTTTGCTGTTGCTGATTAAGTCAACCTTCCAGAAAAAGTGGCACCAAATGATTTTACCAGTAACTTTCCTTGCAAAGAATCCTCAACTGTATACTTAACATAAATGTCAATGTAGAATATATGTACGTACTTGGTACCTCGTTTTAGAAATAATTCTTATTTTGTGTTGTCACACATTTCTCTTTTTTTTTAAAAGAAAAGTTAGAGTTTCAGCCAGTCCTCCAGGAAATATTCCTCCAGGGGACGGCATAGTGGCTCAGTGGTTAGAACAGCTGCCTCAGTGCCAGGGACTTGGGTTTGATTCCAGTCTTGGGGGACTGTCTGTGTGGAGTTTGCATGTTCAAAGTCATGCCAGTTAGGTGGATTGG